TCGTTTAATCAACTTAATATCTAAGCCACCCAATGATCTAGTTAAATAAATGTTTAAATAATAATTTATAGAGCATTTGAAACCATAAAAACACCTGCAATGAGCAGATTAAGTTATTGCTTAAAGATACATTATGGGAGATTGTTATAGAGGATTGGCCATTCTTGCTATAACAGTTCAAAAGTAGATGATGAAAGAAGAATATATTGAAAATTTCAGTCCAATTACTTTATTCTGAACATAGTTATCATCGTTGTAATATTTGACTAGAAATAGTAGTGAAATGTGCCTTCACCCTTGCCGATCGTTGAATGACAGGCGTTAACTCCACCTACATATCTCGATTATCAAGTAAAGTTTTCAATGGCATTTGGAAACGCTCTACAGCGGCCTCGCTAAGTACACTCTATCATTTGGCCTCGATCTAACTGACGTATTCTCATCAGGATGCGCCTATTTAAATCCGAGCTGTAGCCGAGCGATCCGTGGGTCTACAGAGTTGATTTTGGGCTTGTTGTTTACATAAAGATTTAATTTATAATTTCTATAACATCTGAAGCCTAAATTAAGACTTGCAATAATCAGATTTTGCTCTGGCATAATGTATGTTTAATGCATCTTTAAAATAATTTTTGTGAGGCAAATGGTGTTTAATGTGTCATTTGAAACACATTGTCTTTCCCAATCAATCAATCTTGAACCTATTAAACTAGAGTTGTTTGTGAAAGGAATTTAAACTAAGATATATTAGTTATTACCACATGTTTTTTGTTTAGCTTACTACATATTTTCAGAATGTAATCCCTAGATATCTGTATGTTTTTAGATACAGACTTTCAAAGCGCGAGTATAGAATCCATAAAATCATTAACAATGTGTCATAAAACACAAGATTGCTCAACACCTACGCCAAGTGTTTGGTTGCTTCATATTCTTTTTTTTTAAAATTTCAAAAGTTAATATTCATCTCAAACGCATATAGGCCTGCAGCCAAAATGTCTAGCGTGAAGTTCCGCTACAAGTTACTCCCCAATAAACAAACTATACATTTTTGGAAAGCTTATAACACTAGGAACACACATCCAGAGAGTTCCAAGGAAAACGTTTACACTAACTCGATTTAGGGCCGGATGAAAATTGTTACTCAGTAAAGGGCTGGCTCACTTACCAGGAGAACCAGGGTTTAATCCTAGGCCGTCGTGGTATCCCTTTGTCCGTGGCTCTCTAATCAGGAGGTCCGGGGTTTGATCCCCGTGTTGACCTAGACAGTTCGCCAAATGTGTGATGAGCTGCGTCTAGTTATTCGGATGGAATATAAAACTGAGGTCCAGTGCACACGTTGGCGTGTACGTAAAAGAACTTGAAATTCGAAATAAAGAGTAGACCTTAAAGTTGCTGTTTGGACCAAATTCCCCCTATAGCATAACGTATGGCGGGCTTATGTATATGTTCATTGTCCCGGTTGATAATGAACAGTTAGTCATTAAACTCCATTTGATTTTTTTTTCTCTTCATTACAATTGCCACTCCCTTATAGTATTATTTAGGTTTTACCATACATCTATTTTAGTGAGAAAATTACATAATATAGATGCTTTGTTTCAATTAAAATAGTTGTTAGGAATTTAGGCCCAAATCTAATCTGGACTAAAAGTTTACATATACATGTATATTAGTAGAAATACTGTTTTGGGAGAACTTATATGCCCCCCCCCCCTCCTCTCCCAGATTCGGTGAACCGTCCATTTTTCTGGCAATGCATTTCAGTTTTTCGGGCACAAGCCTCAGAGAATGGAGAATGCGACCACATCTCATGCAAATATAATTGTGTAATTAATTTAAAATAAACAACCCATCACAGCTTTGTGGAAAATTTATTTTAGTTAATGATTGATTGATTCAGAAAATTTGGGTGACCAAGAAATTTTTCGGGCAAATAGGCTCAGCCCCCCCCCCCCCCTCCTCCTCCCCAACTGAGATTGGCCCCCTACACCAATGTAGCCTCTTACCCATTGTTCAATACGATTCAGTTTGTTGAATCAAATATTGTTTAAACTAGTGTTTTCCCTCCCATCCGAACGACTGGGCATTGTGCTTCCAGCAAACTCTCATCCCGTACTACTGATAGGGGGAGACCGCATCGGGATTATCTTGTACATGTACATAGCTAATCTGTGTAAGTGTAGTAAATGTGAAAATGAAACAAAAAGACTGTTAAAGAAACCTAATTTGATGTTTATACATGTAGTGACAGTGATGATGATAACGACGAACTTTGATGACGTTTAAAGTGAAGGGTAACTGCGTAATTTTGATTTTCAATAATTGTTTTACTTCAATAAATAATTAGTTTTTGTCTTATATCTATATTTGTTAGCAAATTACACAATTATAGATACGGTTTCGGTTTAAATGTTTGTAATTTTACCTGTAGTATAAATAATGTAGGGTCTAATTGAAAGGGTGTGTGGGTGCGGGTTTATGTTTTAGTGGTATAAAATCACGTTGTTGCAGTGCAATTTACAAAAAAAAATTACGGACAGAGTTTGGTCTCTATTACTTCATAGAATATTGCTCAACCAATGTCAAACATATCTCCTTGCTCATCAGACTACGCGCTCCGCCCATAATTTCTGGGTAAAATCCCGCTCACCAACCCTTGCAGTCTCCTAGGACCCCATTAACGATATAAATATTGGGCTTGTGTGCTCACACATGGTCTTGTGCGTCATACAGCATCAGCAGTCAACACGCACTTGAAATACTGTTATCAACTGCAGACATTTGACAGAAAGGGAAATAACTCTCTATTACCGTCAATGGATTTCCAAAATTCTGTATGTTACCTTGTCCATTATGTTTTCTGCTTTTTTGGTTTAAATCAAAATTTAACCAATAGCATATTCTTTGTCGAGGATAAAGGCATTGGGTGTTTTCGCCAATATTTAATCTTATGTCAACTTCACAATTGTTAGTATGAATATAGTATTGACTTGAAAATTATCACAATTTTCATCTGGCCCTAAATCAAGGAAGTGCAAACATTTTGCTTGGAACTCTCTGGATTTGTCTTCCTGGTATTATAAGCTCTCAAAAAATGTATAGTTTCTTTATTAGGGAGGACTTTGTAGCGGAATTGTGTTTCTAAGCAAGCTAGAAATTTTGGCTGCAGACCTAATATATTAAGTAGGGTGACATTAAAACTATTGTAAAGCCTTTCTGAAGACCGCCATTCCGGGTGTTTTGAAGACAAATGAAGTAGATCCCATTGTAACTTGTAATTTGGGATAGCAATTGACTTCAATCGCCATTTATCTTTAGATATGTAAATTATTGATTGAATAAATATTGTTAGAAAAAAAATAAAAGATCTTCCCCGGGAATGAAAATGTTTCGTTTCGATTCAAAATCTCAGCAAATGTCACATAGTAAATTTGGATTTTCACAGTCCCAGCCTATTTTGTTGACACATTTCCACTTAATCATTACAAACAAAAATGTATTAGTATAGAGCTTGCCCATTAAATAATTGAAATAACATATTCACTAATTGAAATAACATATCACGATACTTTTATTTCACCACAATCAAGGAGGTTTATGAGGTTTACATCTCTTTAAATATCAGATTACGGAAAATGACAAGCACTCAAGACTGAAATCATACCGCAACATCCCAGGAAATACTTTATTTATGTCCATGTAAAAATACAAGACATGCGTAACTGGTTGCTTTGTAAAACTACGAATCATGACAATGCGTTATGACCCCCCCCCCCCCCCTCTCAACCATGCTTTGGTTCATACTGCCGCCAATGCCAAGCAATAAAGGAGGCATCATTGCATTCAACAAGAAAAAAACATTTGATCCACACTAGCATCGACAATCCTAGCACTGATCAACAAGAGGAGCTCACCACTTTGCAAAATTATTTACAAAATAGTGACACACAGTCTTAATTTGAACACCATCGATATATCAATATTGTAAGGCGAGGGTGTTCAGCTTCTTTGAAACAGGACAAAATATTGAATGGGTGTTGATCTCGGGACAGGTTATATACGATTAAACGTTTGTTCAGCGAGTTGTCACCTCACAAAACGAATCAACATAAAGTCAAATGAAGAGTTACCACTCCTAAACGAATCAACATTAAGTCAAATGACACTGGCAATTTTGTTTTGAGCAAGGGTGGGGTGTGTGTGTCAATTTCATATAGTCATATAGTAAATTTGCTTTTTGTCCTGGCCTTAAATGCTCGAGAAACGTTCGCTAGGCAGCTGTTGGCTACTTCATTAATTGTTACCCATTCATAATTGATAACCTTTATCAGATAAAGAGTTAGATGTTATTGGCCGTAGCTAATATAAAAAAATGTTCGATTGCTACTTTATCAATTACTGCTTATTATTTCCATTCACATTATTTTATGGTTTATAGGGGAATGCGTTAAATGTCATTGGTTCATAAGTAACATAAACAAGTTAACGCCATTAAAGATTTTTAATGAGGTCTCTTGGGTAAATTGTGTTTTTCAATGTCTGTACAAGTGGACTTTGTAATCAGTAACTGAATGCCGTAAAGTCGAGACATTATCATGCCAAATACAGTTGAGCAAACTAAATGTGAATAAAACTCTCGCCTGTATGGCTGATACAACCAGTACCGAACGACGAACGCGTAGGATAAAAGCTAAGACACTCAGCGTTTAACATACACTAGTGTAGGATTTCTGAATAGATAGCGCTGATAATTATATAAATATTTTCTAGTTCTGTGAAGAAATGTTTCAGTTCATTCGTGTCTCAGGTGTTCGGTGATTGGTTAAAAAGTTCGAAGAGTTAACACGGCAATGTAAAGCGTGGCGTCTTGTTTCCAAATGAATCAATGAAGTCTTACTGTATGATAGGAAATACTTAATACGTGTTAATTCTTACTTTAGACGGGCTGTCAATACGTTCCCTTTTCTATCCTTTCAACTTCATTTACATCATTCGTATTCCTTGACGCAGAAACAACCCATTATATAGTTTCGGTCTTGTGTCGCAATATTAAAAGCCAGACTTTTCAAAGATTGAGGCTTTTATTGGCAGTGACTGACATTGGATCTACTCGCATTAGCATAGGCTACCCGTAAAGAGGGATCATTAGAGTATTTACCACTCTAGATTAGAAAACGATCACAATAAAGTAAAAAAAAAGTATATATATATATACAAACCCAATATCGGGATGGAATATAAATTTTATTAAATATTTGGAGAAAGCGTATTTTGTTTGACTGAAAGTTTAAATGCTTGGACTTAAAATCCGAAAACACAGAGTTTGATTCTAAGGTAAGACAAGTTAAACCTTTTAATTATTTCGAGATTTTTTTGATTTGATTAAAGTTGATTCACTCTCCTTATTATTTTGAGATATTTCTCAAGATAAAAAAAACCCCACAGTGTAGAATTATATCAAATATTTGAAAGATTAGAATGGTTGGACTAACGCAGCGTCTGATTTTAAGGTAAGAAAAGGTTTTCCTTTTCTGTTTTACTTTGCTTATTATTATTTTGAGTTGTTTCTAAAAAAAGAATAAACTGTTGACTTCAACTATAATCAAATATTTGAAATAGTTTTTGTTAAGCCTTAAATGGTTTTCTCATTTTTTAAAAAAAATAATAACTTCGAAGTGAAGTTCTTATGAAAGATTCGTATGGTCTAGCGTTAGTCCTTTAATAATAGAAGAATTTGTTTCTGATTATTATTACAGTATATCGCTAATTAATTCGATTTAACAGGTGATCTGTGTGGCCTTGGCCATCTCAAGTATAAATACATTTCATTCAATCAAGTTGCATGGCTTCGATCCCAGGCTTTTACCTAGCTGATATGTGACAAGGAGTAGGGTACCTTGTCTAACATCATCGGTTTCGCCTGTCACTTCTAAAGATCCCAGCACGCTAGCGAATTATTAAAATTAATGCAGCATTATGCTAGTCCCGAAGACGTTTGCATTGGGTGTATTATGCTAGTCCCGAAGTAGTTTGTATTTAGTTGAATAGGCTAGTCCCGAAGTAGTTTGTATTGAGTTGAATATGCAAGTCCAGAAGTAGTTTGTATTGAGTGGATTATGCTAGTCCCACTCTCCCGTGTGATTAAATCCGTTGACAGTATAGTGCCAACCTTTCGGTTTAATGTTTTATTTAATTCAACGAACGTGTAGCAATTTATCACTAAAGTGCACTTCTAACTGACTTTAATGTACAAATGTTTGGATAGTGAAGCAACATCATCCACGTGTATGTTATCTTATATATGTTTAACATACATTATGTAAGATTTAGATAAACTGGTGTTCGACATTGCTTTATTCTGATCAAAGTTATGGGTCTTTTAAGTTATGAAATGAAATAGCTGATTGGCAAATGCCATTGACATCCAGTTTAACGGTAACCGATTATATAGCGCGGATGGTCTAATCCATTCAATAACTGAGACATCCAGAGATCTACGGAATTGATTATGGGTTTCCATGTGAATAAATGTCTGAATAACAATTTATATCATATTTGAAGCCAGAAAAAAAGACCTTTAAGAAAATCTTCTCTGGAAATCGATGTATATTATGCGTGCTTTTAAAAGTTAGGGGCATTAGCGTCGTTTCCTTATTTAATTTGACGTAATTATGCTATATAAGTACATAGGAGATTTCAAAATTTGGGGTAAGTCGGTGACACCGTTGTTCTGACATAGACGTTGTATTTTCATATTGCAGCTATACAGGAACGATCAGCGGACACCGTCCGATCAAAGACCGTTCCTAAAGGAACTAGCAAATCCACAACATATCTGGAAAACACAATTTGGGATTGTGCAGCTTTTACACGTTATTATAGATGTCAACGGCAATAATTATGTGGACGGTTAACTCGCAACCATGCATGACGCCATCCACATAGTGTTGAGACGTCAGTTAGGGGTGTGTGAAGTGATAACCTTGATATCTGGAAGTGTTCACTGGTATCACAATGAAATCAAAACAGGCTTAACGTCCTACTGTTCTGCTCCGAACTGGGCTAATGAAGACGGGCATACGCCATACAGGGTGCTTTAGGGAAATTTTGCCCGAACAGCGGCACTATGGCCTACTCATATCGAATTCCAACTGTCAAGGGATCTTTTACGTGCATGCCAATGTGTACACGGGACCTCGTTTTTTCGTCCCATCCGAACGACTAGACAGTTGTCCTTATCGGGCCCTCCGTCCTGCATCACTGACAAGGGGGAAGCACGCCGGAAAATCGCGATGAACTTTCTCGGTCAATGCAGGGCTCAAACACCCGACCTCAAGGCTAGCGAGCCAGCGTCTTGGCCACCGTGACCCCTCACTGTTATCACACTTTAATAACAAGAGATATGGAAGTGATGATGAAGGTCAATCAAATATGCAAATTAGGCTTCCTTGAAGTTTACACTTCGTGGGCACTTGATTAATCTCGCTTCTCACACACTTCTGTTAAAGCGAAAATGGAGTGTCGCTCCTGCTTCTTGGCCATTGACACGAAGTGTGTTTTATCACGCCACATTCACTTCGATAGAGTGATTATCACTTGAGTTAAACTTCAGCAGGGTGCTTTATAGAGTGTTTTTTATCACTTCAGCAAAATATACTGCAATCTTAAATCGAACGTATTTAACACTTTATTTACATTTCTTCCACACTTCAACAGAGTGTATTTATCACACCGATACTAGTAAGCATACGACCACATAAGTTGCGTTATATAAAATCAAGGACAATTGATCCTCAACAAGTGGCCCGGTACACCAATTAAGCAAAATTGCCTAACCACAATAGGTTGAGTCGCAACATGAAAAAATACCAATAATGGAAAGTGACACCCTGTGTTCATATAATATTATATTGTAACTATATCCTACTGCCGATTATGACACAAATATATTTCTAACTATGGCAGAATCAGATAGCGACCATGAATTTGTAAAACACACCTCATATCTGGTGCTTATCGTATATCGAGGCATATGAATAGCAAATTAATATCATATGGAATTGTTGAACACTAAGGTTTCGTTTTACATCAATATTTCCAGTCGCAATCCAAGCGAGATGTGTAAATGTCATTTTATTGGTATCCATGATTTCTAATTTTGTAGCATAAACGAAGTCTAAACATTCTTCACTAATAGATTTCAGAAGTAAGGGCAAATCCATCACCAGATTCAATTTGTTGATTACTTAAAGTTTCTGGTCGTCATTTGGAGGGGTGTTAATCTCTTGTGAAAGTTGGATCTCCAATAGGGATATTAGTCTAGAAATGGTTCAATTCTATTCACTATATGGTGAACTGAAAAGGTTTCAACATTCGGCATCCCCCTGGAGACGATATTGACAGGGTAAATGTCAAAGCAAGCTAACGCCACCTACAATCATCGGCAGAGTCTTTCCAATCCCGACTGAATCCAAACTAGGGGATTATCTATCTGGATTTTGTTTTCTTGATGAAATGTTAAAGTAGCTAAGTCTCTAACTCAATACCATCTAAAACCATCGACATTGAAAACACGAATTATTTGTCAATTTAAATCAACACTGATGTTGTGATCTTACCGGGAAAAGATGGGCTTTTGATATCCAATATTTAAGACAAAAACATTTTACGATTGGTACACGAATCGTGTACCATAATGCGTTTCAGCGCAGTTTGTAGCAAGCGACTCGAAGAACGAGGTTAGATATATTCTACAAGTCATGTCAAATGGTAACCCCAAATTCTTATCTGGAGAGCATGCGCAATAAATACTATCGGTGCAGACGGGAATAACCAGACGCTAGAGATTGCCATTCGATTGAGACTTCTGGCGTATTTTCCCGAACATAACTGCTTTGAGAGAGTAAAAACGGACACGATTGAATGCAAATCAGTTTATTTACATTCATATTACATTATTATACGTTGCGACCCATTTGTGTCAATTTCTAGGTCCCAAATATTAGCGATTTAGCTCCTTTAAATAATAAATAAGAATACATTTTAACCATGATTAAACCGTGAAACATTAGCTATTGTACGGAAAATGCAAACGACGATCATCGACTTTAATGTGCTGTGTTCTCTATGCCAAATTCCTTAAGAGACATATTTGTGGACGTATACTGTCGTCGCCTCTGTCCATCCGGATGTCTGTCCATCCACAATTTGTTTGTGGACCCTTTACAGGTCACAATTTTTAACCGATTTTGACGAAACTTGCAATATAGGTTCATCTCAAACAGATTTTGGTCCATTTCGATATTTTCATGTATCGAACCGACACTTTCTCGATTATGGTCCTTGATTGTCCGAAAAATCACGATTTTAGCATTTGGACACTCCAGAGGTCACAATTTTTATCCGATTTTGATGGAACTTGAATTGAATTTTATAGATAAAATATCTCGGTTCTTTTCGATATTCGCGCATACGAGACAGTAACTTCCTGGATTATGGACCCTGATTGTTTTTAGCTTGTTCTCTAGAGTTACAATTTCTATTCGATTTTTAAAAAAAAGTTCAAAATATCAATGTTACACCATAAATGGTTGAGATCGAATTTCATGAAAATCGGACCGATTCTGCCGAACAAAATGGCTGTTCCTCATACGCAAATAGTGTAAAGGTATAATAATCAAGGTTGTGGACACTCTATAGGTCACAATTTTGATCCGATTTCGGTAAAACTTTACATTTATGTTTAATCCTGTTGATTTTTGCGCATATCGGTCTGTAACTTCGTGGATTATTTTGTGGACCCTCTAGAGGTCACAATTTTTATCCGATTTAAAAAATCGTGTAAAAATATCACCGTTACACCCTGATGATGTTCGAGTTCGAAGTTCTGCCCGACAAACTGGCCGTTACTTGTACGCAAACAAAAGTATGTAATACCAAAATTGTGGGCCCTATAGAAGACACAATTTTTATTCGATTTTAATGAAACTTTAAATGTATGTTTATAACCTGAAGGTCTCGATATTCGCGCATATCGGACCGTAATATCCTGGATTATCGCCTCTAATTGTACAAAAATCACAATTTTTTTTAGCTTGTTCTATGTCCATCCCCTGCAAAAGTGGGCGTATCTTTTATGGCAACCACATGTAATTATGGGACAATTACACACTTGTCTTGCAGATCTGTTAAATTTTCAATAAAGTCAGGTCATATGTGGCGTTACGTACGAGATTACCTTGTATTAGAAGTCTTGGAAGTTTAACCCATGGAATAATCCTCGACAGAATCAATAATAATTTTCATGTAATTGTTTGAGACTCCCGATATTTTGG